AATGTTAAAATGGATGAAAAACGGATGGATGAAAAACATGATGAAAAATGTGTCAAAAATGGATGTAAATGGATGAAAGAAAAAGATGTAAATGGATGAAAAACGGATGTAAAATGGATGAAAAACTGATGTAAACAGATGAAACACGGAAGAAAAACAGATGAAAAAATGTGTGAAAAATGGTTATGAAAAAAATGGCTAAAAAATGGATGTAAAATGGATGTAAAAATGGATGAAAAAACGGATGTAAAATGGATGAAAAACATGTAAAATGGGATGAAAAAAATGAATGTAAAGAGATGAAAAAACAAATTAAAAACAAAGAGAAAAATGGATGTAAAACAGATGGATTGAAAAACAGATGAAAAAATGGATGAAAACCGATGATGAAAAATGGATGTAAAAATGGGAAAAAAATGATGTAAACGGATGTAAAATGGATGAAAACATGAAAAATGGAAGAAAAAAGATGAAAAAATGAAAAATGGATGTGATTGAAAAATGGATGATGTAAACGGGAAAAAATGGAAGAAAAACAGCTGACTGAAAATGTGTGTGAAAAATGGATGTAAATGGATGAAAAACGGTAAATGTAAAATGGATGTAAAAACTGGATGTGAAACAGATGAAACACGGAAGAAAAACAGATGTAAAAAATGTGTGAAAAATGGATGAAAAAATGGCTAAAAAATGGATGTAAAATGGATGTAAAATGGATGAAAAACGGATGTAAAATGGATGAAAAACATGTAAAATGGATGAAAAATGAATGTAAGAGATGAAAAACAAATTAAAAACAAAAGAAAAATGGATGTAAAACAGATGAAAAACAGATGAAAATGACGATGAAAAACGATGAAAAATGGATGGAAAACTGATGTAAACGGGATGAAAAAAATGGAAAGAAAAAACATGATGAAAAATGTGTGAAAAATGGATGTAAATGGATGAAAAACGGATGTAAATGGATGAAAAACGGATGTAAAATGGATGAAAAAAAATGTAAAGTTGATTAAAACTACGGAAGAAAAAATGGATGAAAAAAATGAAAAAATGGCTGAAAAAAATGAAAATGGATGGAAAAATGGATGTAAATGGATGTAAAAACAAGATGATGTGTGAAAAACAGATGTAAATGGATGAAAAACGGTAAAATGTAAAATGGATGAAAAATGTGTGAAAAATGGATGAAAAAATGGCTAAAATGGAAAATGTGATGAAAAATGGTAAAAAAATGGATGTAAAATATCGTAAAATGGATGAAAAACAGATGTAAAGGTGCAATTCCAATTCACAAATCGCCCCTGAGATCGCACAGTTATGGCCGGGCACGAAGTAACAGGTCACACAGCTGTATTATAAAATAGCGCAATTTCAGGCACGCTTTCTGAAAACGTTTATTGCGTCTTGTGAGATTTTCAGCGATTTCTGGCCATTTGCAGTGCGAATTCCATTCTATTCTATGTCGGTGAAATCGCAACAAAACTGCACAAAGAGTCGTGCCGGAACCTAAGCCTTAGTGCCCGGGCACCCCGGTGCGATTTCAGGTGGGATTTGCGAAGTGAAATTGCGCCTGAAATCGCATCTAATGAACGTGAGTCGGTGTCTCAACACGTGCGATTTGCTGCGCTGCGTTCTCGCATGACTTTTCCTGCAGTTCTGTTGCGATTTCACCGACATAAATAGAATGGAGATCGCGCTGCAAATGGCAAGAAATTGTTGAAAATCTTCATAAGTCGCAATGAAGTCCTCAGAAATTGCGCTGAAATCGCAGCGTTGTGATCGGTGACTCAAGTCTAGGTTCACACCTAAGTGTTTTGTGTTGCATGTTGCGTGTTACATAGCCGCACCACAGTCCATGCACCCCCCCCCGGTCACATCAAGCCCGACTTTGAAATCGTACAACGTACAGCGAAGTCGCATGATTTCAAAGTCGGGGGGATTTCAGGTGCGATTTGCGACCTGACAGATGTCTATGCGGATCGCGCCAGAGGTAGCGCATGAAGTCAGACACCGCGCCGACATGACCGCTGTCATTGCAGACACTAGGGTGCCACTTGGCATGCGATTTGTAAGTTGCATGCCAAGTCGCACCAGTGTGACCGGGGTCTCGATTCCTATGGGACGCGTTCACATCTCTGCGTTTTCACCCGGGTGCGTCTTTTTTGGGGAAAGGGACTTTTTTTAAAGCGCAAAACGTTGCGTTTTTGGTTCAATGGACCTCGACGGAGATGCTGCAGAAATGCATTTAGTGCGTCTTTGATGCGTTTTTTATACGTTTTGCATTTTTAATCTGCCCAGAAACAATTTGTGGCTTCTCTCTGCGCTGGGGAAGGAAGGGTTTAAGTGTCCTGGCCACACCCCCACCTCCTGCAGACAGCCCCGCCCGCCCCCTCCTCCGAACAGGTTGAACCTGTGCAGGTACATAAGCTGCGGGGCGGAAGTAGCTGTTGGATGTCATTCCTGGACGGGAAGGCTGGAAGACAAGGGAAGGATTGGACGCCCCCGGGATCAGGTACGACACAACCTGTTTCCCCTTGTCCTCTTTTACCGCCCCCCACCCCCATGACGACCCCCTTTAAAATTTAGAGGGGAGGTCCCTGGCTCCCCCCCCCCCAGCAACGTAGAGGGTGTGCGTGCGATCCGCCTGGGGGGTGGAAATGCGATGAGCGGATACATTGTTAATATTTCATGGGAGTCTTGCGTTCCGGCTCCTGACCGCCCCGGGGTTGGGGCAGGGGGGGGGCTGACAACTCATGGGGCCCCCAGGCAATAGGGGATCATGGGGCCCCTGTGTCCTTGCCCAAACTCAAAAAAGCCTATGAAAAAGGTACCAGGGGCATCTCATGGGGCCCCCTACTGACCCCGGGCCCTCGGGCAGTGCCCGAGTTTCCAAATGGTCAGTCCGCCCCTGGGTTGGGGGGTAGGAGGCCCCGCCGCCGAATCCTCAACACCATGAAACGTTCCCGAAGAGTCGAGACACGGAACGGAACTTCACCAGATCGCCCGACGCAGCGACCCGTCATACCTGTTTATTTAGTCACCGAGCGCCCGGGTGGAGTACATTCCGTCTAGTGTGCGTCCTCGGATGGGGGGGGGTCAGGGCCCCCACCGGGGTTTCATCGTCGTCCGAGGCTTGCCATACATGGTGCAATCTCCGTACAATCAGATGTAGGCCTCACCATACACCTTCCGATCTCCCGGGGGGGTCCCACCCAATCCGTCCAATCAGGAAGGCCCGTGGTAGGTCGGTCTAAGGGCCACGCCATAGAAACGCAGTTCAGAGGCGTTCCGGATGTGTTCACCGTGCGTTTTTCCCCTCCGCTCATTTTCTTCAATTTCAACTAAGGACTTGTGCGTTGCGGTGCGATTTTGATGCGTTTCGGTTAATTTTTCAGACCCTCTCTTTCTTCATTTTCAAATAGGGGCAAGTGTGTTCTGGTGCGTTTTTGATGCGTTCCGGTGCGTTTTTGATGCGTTCCGGTGCATTTTTTTCCCCCTCTAATTTTCTTCAATTTAAAAAAGGTACATGTGCATTCCGCTACATTTTTCCCCATATCTTTTTCTTCAATTTAACAATAGGGGCACGTACGTTTCGGTGCGCGCTTTTTCCTCTTTTTTTTTACACATTTAAATAGGGACATGTGCGTTTTTGATGCGTTTCAGTTAATTTTTTACCCCTCTCTTCCTCTTCAATTTAAATAGGGGGCAAATGTGTTCTGGTGTATTTTTGATGCATTCCGGTGCGTTTTTGATGTGTTCCAGTGTGTTTTTGATGCATTTTGGTAAATTTTCCCCCCTGTCTTCCATTTCAAATAGGGGGGGAGTGTGTGTTCCGGTGCGTTTTTGATGTGTTCCGGTGCGTTTTTTTTCCCCCTCTAATTTTCTTTAATTTAAAAAGGTACATGTGCATTCCGCTACATTTTCTCCCATATCTTTTTGTTCAATTTAAATGTTTCGGTGCGTTTATGATGCGTTCCGATGCGTTTTTCCCCTCTCTTTTTCTTCAATTTAAATAGGGGCACGTACATTCCGGTGCGTTTTTCCTCTTTTTTTTTTTTTACAACCATTTTAAATAGGGACATGTGCATTTTTGATGCGTTTCAGTTAATTTTTTACCCCCTCTCTTTCTCTTCAATTTAAACAGGGGCAAGTGTGTTCCGGTGCGTTTTTGATGGCATTCCGGTGCATTTTTGATGCGTTTCGGTAAATTTTCCCCCCTCTCTTTCTTCCATTTCAAATAGGGGCAAGTGTGTTCCGGTGCGTTTTTGATGCGTTCTGGTGCATTTTTTCCCCCTCTAATTTTCTTCAATTTAAAAAGGTACATGTGCATTCCCTACATTTTCTCCCCATATCTTTTTCTTCAATTTAAATGTTTCGGTGCGTTGATGATGCGTTCTGATGCGTTTTCCCCCTCTCTTCCTCTTAAATTTCAAATAGGGGGAACGTACGTTCTGGTGCGGTTTTGATGCGTTCCGGTGCGTTTTTCCTCTTTTTTTACCATTTAAATAGGGACATGTGTGTTTTTGATGCATTCCAGTGCGTTTATGATGCGTTCTGATGCGTTTTTCCCCCTCTCTTCCTCTTCAATTTCAAATAGGGGCACGTACGTTCTGGTGCGGTTTTGATGTGTTCCAGTGCATTTTTTGTTTTTCTTCTTTTTTTACCATTTAAATAGGGACATGTGCGTTTTTGATGTGTTCCGGTGCATTTTTCCCCTCTCTCTTTTTCTTCAATTTAACCACTTGCCGACCGCGCATAGCCGAATGACGGCTTCACCGCGGCCGGCCAGTTCTGAGTGGACGTCATATGACGTCCTCCCCAGAACGCGCTCTCCTGCGCGCCCAGGGGGCGCGAGCCCCAAGGGGCGCGCGCCCGGCGATCTCCGTGATCGCTGTGTCCTACGGACACAGCTGATCACGAGATGTGGTGAAAGGCCGATCCCACCGGCCTTTTACCACGTGATCAGCGGTGTCCAATGACACGCTGATCGCAGGAAAATGCAAGTGCCGGTTCTCGGCTGCACTTTCCTCACGCTGTCAGATCGTGAGGAAAGTACTGCGAGAACCGGCAGTTGTCAGAGCGGGGATCGGCACCGATCATCAGGGCACTGATGATCAGTGCCCGGTGCAGTGACCCCCGCAAGTTCCGATCAGCTGTGCGCCCACTAGCCCCGCCCACCCATTCCCAGCAGTGCCCCCACCTGTGCCCAGCAGTGCCCCCACCTGTGCCCAGCAGTGCCCCCACCTGTGCCACTCTGCAGTGCCACCTACCTGTGCCCAGCAGTGCCACCTACATGTGCCCAGCAGTGCCACCCACCTGTGCCCACCCACCTGTGCCCACCAGTGCCACCCACCTGTGCCCACCAGTGCCACCCACCTGTGCCCACCCACCAGTGCTGCCAGTCAGTGCCACCAGTCAGTGCCCAGGGGTTGTGCCAGTCAGTGCCGCCAGTCAGTGCCCAGAAGTGATGCCAGTCAGTGCCGTCTATCAGTACCCATCATCAGTGTCACCTATCAGTGCCGCCTATCAGTGCTGCATATCAGTGCCGCCTATCCGTGACCCCTAATTAGTGCTGTCTATCAGTGCGCCTATCCGTGCCACCTCAGTACTGCCTATCAGTGCCCTTTAGTGCTGCCTATCAGTGCCCATCAGTGCCGCCTATCAGTGCCCATCAGTGCCGCCTCATCAACGCAAATCAGTGAAGGAGAAAAAATACCTGTTTGAAAAATTTTATAAAAGAAACAAATAAACTTTTTTTTTTTTTTTCAAATTTTTTGCACTTTTTTTAATTTATAGCGCAAAAAGTAAAGCGCCCAGCGGCGATTAAATACCACCAAAAGAAAGCTCTATTTGTGAGAAAAAAATGATCAAAATTTCATATGGGTACAATGTTGCATGACCGCGCAATTGTCAATCAAAGTGCGGCAGCGCTGAAAGCTGAAAATTGGCCTGGGCAGGAAGGGGGTAGAAGTGCCCGGTAGGCGAGGGGTTAAATAGAGACAGCTGCATTCCGGTGCGTTTTTTGATACATTCCAGTTAACTTTTTCCCCTCTCTTTATCCTCAATTGAAATAGGGATCTGTGCGTTTTTGGTGTGTTTTTTTTACCATGTTCCAGTACAGTTCTGTACAGAAGAAATGCGTCCTGTTCTACTTTTTATTTTTTTTTGCATCCGGAACTGCGAGCGCTGATGTGAACGATGACATTAACCGCCATATAACCTGCTTTCTGTGCGTTTTGGATGCAGAAAAAAAGCAACTGAAATGCATGGAGTGTGCACCGGCCCCTAAGTCGTGGTTCACATCACATCTAAGCATTTTCCATTGCGTTTCGCAGAAACGCACAACAGTCCATTTAACATGATTTCTTATGGGACGGGTTCACATCTCTGCGTTTTTACCCGCTGCGTTTTTTGGAAAGGGTTGGGGACTTTTTAAAAAGCAAAACGGGGGGGGGGGGGGGGGGGGGTTTGTGCTGGGAGGGGGGGATTTGTGTTGGGGGGGGGGAGGGAGGGAGGGGGAATCTGTGCTAGAAGTGGGGGGATTTGTGATAGGAGTGGTGATTTGTGATTGGGGGGGGGGGAGATTTGTGCGGGGGGGGGGGAGATTTGTGTTGGGAGGGGTGATTTGTGATTGGAGGGTGGGGAAATTTGTGCTGGGGGGATCTGTGCTTGAAGGGGGGATTTGTGCTGGGAGGGGGGATTTGTGATAGGAGTGATTTGTGCTGGGGGGGGGATTTGGGGAGTTTATGCTAGAAAAGGTTATATGATAGAGGGAGGGGGGGGGGGGATCTGTGCTTGGAGGGGAGGGGATCTGTGCTCGGAGGAGGGGGGGGATCTGTGCTCGGAGGAGGGGGGGATCTGTGCTCGGGGGGGGGGGGGAGATCTGTGCTTGGAGGGGGGGGGGGGAATCTGTGCTCGGAGGAGGAGGGGATCTGTGCTCAGAGGGGGGGATCTGTGCTCGGAGGGGACTTTTTTTGGTGGGGAGGTTGTGCTAGTAGGGATGACTGGGGGGGGGGGGTATTTGTGCTGAAAGGGGGGGGTTTGGAATGGGGGGGGTATTTGACCACAGAGTGGAACTTTGAGGGGTTGAACATTTTGTGCTAGGACAGGGAATTTTTTTGGGGGGAGCAATGAAGGGTGAATTGTGCTGGGAGGGGGGATTTGGAGTGGGGGGCGGGAATATGTGGTTGGAGGGGAAATGTATTTGGTGGTGGGGGGGGGGGGGTTGTGCTAGTAGCGATGATTGGGGGGGTATTTGTGCTAGGAGGGGAAGTTGGGGGGAGGGAAATTTTGTGCTGAAAGGGGGGATTTGGAGTGGGGGAGATTTGTGCTCGGAGGGGAAATTTGAGGGGTTGAGGATTTGTGCTGGGGGGGGGGGGATTTTTTGGGGGGAGCAAGGGAGGGGAGTTTGTGCTGAGTTTGTAGTGGGGGGGATTTGTGCTTTGTGGGGAAATTTAAGGGGCATATGGAGAGAGAGAGGATTTGAGGGGGATAGGGGCAATGATTTGTACTGGGAGGGGGGGTTTCATCGGGGGGGGGGGTGGATTTGTACGGAGAGGAGGGGGAGTTTATACTTCGCTATGCCAGCATGCAGATTACTGCTCCTTTTTGTTTTTCTTTTGGGGGGGGGGGATTTTTCTGGCACATAATGGTTGGGCCCTGCAGCACATCTGCACAGGGGTCTGGAGCAATTCCATTTGTAAGGGGGGGGGGGGGGGCGCCTTTTAGGGTGACGATCTGCTGTAACCATAGCAGTGGCTTTTCTGGGTCGTTCTGTAGCTGAGCTCAGTGCGCACGCAGGATAGAAGAAGGGGGGGGGGGGGGGGGGGGGGGCTCTGGTACTGATCATTGGATGTAGAATTCCATATCTTTGAATCTGGAGTTTTCTCTGGTGATCCTGCCATGACGGCCCTTGTACAGGCACTTCCTGTTATTGGGTGACAACGCTCCGTCCCTGCTTCCCAGTTGTGCTCCTGCGTTGTCACCCGTCACATGGGCTTCCTAATGGAGACTACAAACCACGGGGTCCCCATACAGCCAACCCAACGGCGCCCCCCCCCCCCCCCCAAAAAAAAGTATCCCATGCTTTAGTTACGAATTAAAACAGTGATTGGTACCGATCGCTCATTGTGTTCATTCAGGAGCTGATAAATGTGACATTTATTGGACCCTTTCCCCACTCTCCCTCCAAAAGGATCCTATTGTGTGCTGACAGCTGCCGGTGGGAAGGAGAGGAGGGGAGGCCGGCAGCTACAGGGGGGGGGCACGTAGGGGATCCTGGGCAGCAGGGGGAGACGTATCATGCACAGGGAGGGTGATGGGTGCAGGGGTGGGGGGGCACATAGGGGGTTCTGGGCAGCAGGGGGAGACGTATCATGCACAGGAAGGGTGATGGGTGCAGCGGAGGGGGGGCACGTAGGGGATCCTGGGTGCAGCGGAGGGGGGGCACGTAGGGGATCCTGGGCAGCAGGGGGAGACATGAAGCACAGGGAGGGTGATGGGTGCAGCAGAGGGGGGGGGATTACTGGAACCGATCCCCCGGTATGGCTCTTCTCTGCAGCAGCTGAAAGCCAGCAGGAGGGAGGGGAGAAGAAGCCAGCTTTCAGCTGCTGCAGAGAAGAGCCATACCGGGGGATCGGTTCCAGTAATCCCCCCCCCCCCCGCCCCCCCGCTGTACCTGTCACCCTCCCTGCCCGTACCCAAATCACCCAACTGCCTGGGCCCCGCTGCTAGCTTGGGCCCCGTACAGGAGGACTGGTGGTACCCCTAATCCACGGCGCTGCCGTGCCGTCTGGCAGAGGTGTGTGAATCACAAGACCGGCTGAGCAGAGTTGGCTGATAGGAGGGTTCCCCTGAGTTCATTAGATCTGCGCGGCGCGCGTTGCGTCACCCTGAGGGCGGGGCGGCTTTGCTCAGCCTATTACCGCCTCTTCATCGCCCTCATCACCCCGGCACGCCGCTGATCCTTTAGTCATCCTTCATTTCCAGACCTCAGTCATGCCGTTTCCGCTGTTTGATACACGTGACTGGAGGAGAGGCTGCCGGGTGTCACCAGAGCCATCGGCCTCCCAGGCGGTCTGTCAGCCAATCAGCGAGCTCCTATCCAGGAAGCACTGCTATAGGCAGAGAATCCACGCCAATTACCTGTGTAATCCCGGCTTTGAGTCATCCTTTGCCGGCTTCTCGGCCTGCGTCTGGGCGGGTCTGCAGCCTCCTGTCACTTTACTCCCACTCATGGACACAGATTTAAAACCCAACGCCAGCCAAAGCTTCTCCTTACTTCCGTTTGGGTGGAGTGGGAACGGGCTGCAGTCCCTAGAAGGAAGCATTTCCTTTGCGTCTTGGAAGCACAGGAAGTGATGGGAATCTCCCCAATGGGGAAATCAACAAGAAAAGTTCCGGTTAACACGCCCTCTCATTTCTTGTATTGGTGTCACCGAGACAGGAAGTAATGGGAATTCTCCCCAATGGGGACACCACCAAAAAAGTTTCAGTACGGTGTGGATGGTTTGAGCTTCTGATAATGTTTCTAATGCTGTCCGTGACTTCTGTCCCGGTGAAACATATCCTCTCATTTCTTGTATTGGTGTCACCGGAACAGGAAGTGATGGGAATTCTCCCCAATGGGGACACCAACAAAAAGAAAGTCTTGTCTTGTCACCAGGACAGGAAGTAATGGGAATTCTACCCAATGGGGACACCAACAAAAAAAGTTTTAGTAGAGTGCGGATGGTTTAGAGGTTCTGATAATGTTTCTAATGCTGTCTGTGTCTTCAGTCCCGGTGAAACATATCCTCTCATTTCTTGTATTGGTGTCACTGGGACAGGAAGTAAAGGGAAGTCTTCTCAATGGGGACACCAACAAAAAGAGAGTTTCAGTACAGTGTGGATGGTTTAGGGGTTCTGCTAATGGTTGTTAATGCTGTCCGTGTCTTCAGTCCCAGTGAAATATGCCCTCTCATTTCTTGTATTGGTGTCACCGGGACAGGAAGTAATGGGAATTCTCCCCAATGGGGACACCAACAAAAAGAAAGTCTTGTCTTGTCACCTGGACAGGAAGTGATGGGAATTCTCCCCAATGGGGACACCAACAAGAAAAGTTTCATTATGGTGTGGATGGTTTAGAGGTTCTGATAATGTTTTGAATGCTGTCTGTGTCTTCAGTCCTGGTGAAACATAGCCTTTCATTTCTTGTATTGGTGTCAGTAGGACAGGAAATAATGGGAATTCTCCCCAATGGGGACCCAACAAAAAAAGTTTTGACACCGGGACAGGAAGTGATGGGAATTCTCCCCAATGGGACACCAACAAAAAGAAACTTTAGTACAGTGCGGATGGTTTAGAGGTTCTGCTAAGGCTCCATGCACACTGAGCGTTTTAATGGTTGTTAATGCTGTCCATGTCTTCTGTCACGGTGAGACGTGTCCTCTCATTTCTTGCGTTGTGGTCACCGGGACAGGAAGTGATGGGAATTCTTCTCAATGGGGACACCAACATAAAAGTTTCAGTACAGTGTGGATGGGTTTGAGCTTCTGAAAATATTTTTAATGTTGTCTGTGTCTTCAGTTCGGTGAAACATATCCTCTTATTTCTTGTATTGGTGTCACCGGGACAGGAAGTAATGGGAATTCTTTTCCATGGGAACACCAAAAAAAAAAAAAGAGTTTTAGAACAGTGTGGAGGGTTTAGAGCAGGGGTCTCCAAACTGCGTCCCGGGGGCCAGATGTGGCCCTTTGCTTGCTTTTTATCTGGCCCTTCAAGAACTTTTTCTCCCACTGATGAAAGACACTATTTCTGCCACTGACACCAACCAAGGGGCATAAATGCCTGGATGGGGGGGGGGGGGGGTATCAGTCTTGGAGGAGTGGCCGTTCCCAGGCAGGCTGTATTTTCATAGGTAACGCCCACATTTGAGGCTGAGCCTCCATGCCTGAAAGAACTGACCTCCAATGAATGAAATGGGTGGGGCTAGAGACAGTCTAGGGAGGAAAGACCTGCTGCAGTTTCTAATGCACATTGTGAGAAGCTCACAGTGTGCGGTGATATCCGAGTTAGCCGTTTCAGTCCAGGGGAGGAGCCGGTACACCTGTGTAAGACTGGAGGGGAGGAGCCGGTACACCTGTGTAAGACTGGAGGGGAGGACCCGGTACACCTGTGGAGGGGAGGAGCCGGTACACCTGTGCAAGACTGGAGGGGAGGAGCCGGGATACCTGTGCTAGACTGAAGGGGAGGAGCTGGTACACTCTCTTCATGTTACTTACCATGTAAGACTGGAGGGGAGGGGCCGGTACACCTGTGTAAGACTGGAGGGGAGGGGCCGGTACACCTGTGTAAGACTGAAGGGGAGGGGCCGGTACACCTGTGTAAGACTGGAGGGGAGGGGCCGGTACACCTGTGTAAGACTGGAGGGGAGGGGCCGGTACACCTGTGTAAGACTGGAGGGGAGGGGCCGGTACACCTGTGTAAGACTGGAGGGGAGGGGCCGGTACACCTGTGTAAGACTGGAGGGGAGGCCAGAGGACTTTTTTTTTAATTACTTGTTCTTGTTTTCTTTATTAACAGATCAGATGGAGTGGAGCTACCTGAAAACGGACATCGAGAAATGAATTAGGAGACCCTCATATATTTTCAAGTGTTCTAAAAGCCCCCCCCTCCAGAAATTTGGGCTTCTTGATTACATGGCCTGACCAGCTTAGGAGTGATCAATAATTCCATAATGGATACAGGCCAACAGAAGCTCCTTCAACTTGACCTTTCTCCAGAGAAGACCAATCCTACCACAAGAGATGCTGGTTTACAGGAGACACCAAAGAAAAAGTTGAGTTCTGTTGGCTTCTATGAACTGGAGGTACCACAGGCCTCAAATGAAGCCTCGGAGGTCACCAACAGCGCAGCGACAGCAGATGTGGAGACCAAAGAGGTCCTCTCCGGTGAGGAGGACTCAGATCATGGTTATCTAGATAAAGCAGAAGAGGAGAAGACTCAACATGATGCATCTCCTGATTACTTGGAGAACGTGGAAGAGAAGACAACCCACAACGATGAAGACCAAAGCCTTGACTACTTTGACCAGACTTCACCCTGGTCACCTGAACAGACCCATAGACATAGAGTTCTGTCTTGTCCTTGTAAAGAGTGCGTTGAAAATTTGCAAAACAAATGTGAGGAGGTTCAAAACACCACCAATACCGACGAACAGGTGAACGATGAGTTCTTGCCTTGCGAGGAGAGCGCTTCCCTCAACTCCAAGCACAGCAGAAGCGGTTCCGAAAAGTCAAGACGCACGAACTCCTCAGAGGAGGAACTCTGTTTGGGCAACAGGTTCGAAGACGCCCAGGTAACTCTACCTTACCCCGACAGCAGCCGGCCACCGGAATGCATCACCAGACTGAGCAACGCCGGTCTCTATGAACCTAACGAAGACCACGGGGTGAAGAGCAGCAAAGATGAGGAAGACCAGATATCACAAGTGGCCAGTGCGGCTTTCTTTGTACAACATCCGGAGACTAAGCCATCCCAGCAGAAGAAGGTCCATATGGAGATGGTGGACATCGAAAAAGGGGAAGCGGAATGTGAGCCCCTCCTCCGTACCATCCGAAGAACTGCAAATGAGGAGCCCCTGGATCCAAGGATCTGTCAGTGCAACAGAGGCTGCTTGAAGATCGTTGGGTCCTTTGTCACCTCCATGATTGTGTTTCCGGCTTTTCTGTACGCGGCGTACGCTTGGCTGCCTTTTGATGCCCCACTAATGCCGGACATACCCACCAGGCTTGTCTACACCTTGCGGTGTGCGTCCTTCGCTTCCTTCCCCATTGTTCTCGGTAAGTGACGTGAAGAGAGTTACAGAGGAAGGAGCGGAGTCCTCCAGCAGTGCAGAGTATTTCAGGGGAGGAGTTATAGAGGAAGGAGCGGAGTCCTCCAGCAGAGCAGAGTATTTCAGGGGAGGAGTTATAGAGGAAGGAGCGGAGTCCTCCAGCAGTGCAGAGTATTTCAGGAGAGGAGAGTTATAGAGGAAGGGGCCGAGTCCTCCAGCAGAGCAGAGTATTTCAGGAGAGGAGAGTTATAGAGGAAGGAGCGGAGAGTCCTCCAGCAGTGCAGAGTATTTCAGGAGAGGAGAGTTATAGAGGAAGGAGAGGAGTCCTCCAGCAGTGCAGAGTATTTCAGGAGAGGAGAGTTATAGAGGAAGGAGCGGAGTCCTCCAGCAGTGCAGAGTATTTCAGGAGAGGAGTTATAGAGGAAGGAGAGGAGTCCTCCAGCAGTGCAGAGTATTTCAGGAGAGGAGAGTTATAGAGGAAGGAGCGGAGTCCTCCAGCAGTGCAGAGTATTTCAGGAGAGGAGAGTTATAGAGGAAGGGGCGGAGTCCTCCAGCAGTGCAGAGTATTTCAGGGGAGGAGTTATAGAGGAAGGAGCGGAGTCCTCCAGCAGAGCAGAGTATTTCAGGAGAGGAGTTATAGAGGAAGGGGCGGAGTCCTCCAGCAGCGCAGAGTATTTCAGGAGAGGAGTTATAGAGGAAGGAGAGGAATCCTCCAGCAGAGCAGAGTGTTTCAGGAGAGGAGGGTTATAGAGGAAGGGGCGGAGTCCTCCAGCAGTGCAGAGTATTTCAGGAGAGGAGGGTTATAGAGGAAGGAGCGGAGTCCTCCAGCAGCGCAGAGTATTTCAGGAGAGGAGTTATAGAGGAAGGAGAGGAATCCTCCAGCAGAGCAGAGTGTTTCAGGAGAGGAGGGTTATAGAGGAAGGAGCGGAGTCCTCCAGCAGCGCAGAGTATTTCGGGAGAGAGGAGAGTTATAGAGGAAGGAGCGGAGTCCTCCAGCAGCCCAGAGTATTTCAGGAGAGGAGAGTTATAGAGGAAGGAGCGGAGTCCTCCAGCAGCGCAGAGTATTTCAGGAGAGGAGAGGTATAGAGGAAGGAGAGGAGTCCTCCAGCAGCGCAGATTATTTCAGGAGAGGAGTTATTGAGGAAGGAGCGGAGTCCTCCAGCAGCGCAGAGTATTTCAGGAAAGGAGAGTTATAGAGGAAGGAGCGGAGTCCTCCAGCAGCGCAGAGTATTTCAGGAGAGGAGTTATAGAGGAAGGAGCGGAGGTATTTCAGGAAAGGAGAGTTAGAGGAAGGAGCGGAGTCCTCCAGCAGAGCAGAGTATTTCAGGAAAGGAGAGTTAGAGGAAGGAGCGGAGTCCTCCAGCAGAGCAGAGTATTTCAGGAAAGGAGAGTTAGAGGAAGGAGCGGAGTCCTCCAGCAGCGCAGAGTATTTCAGGAAAGGAGAGTTAGAGGAAGGAGCGGAGTCCTCCAGCAGAGCAGAGTATTTCAGGAAAGGAGAGTTAGAGGAAGGAGCGGAGTCCTCCAGCAGCGCAGAGTATTTCACGCTCTCTTCTCTCTTCAGGTGTCATCATCCATGGAATCTCACGTCTCTGTGCCTCCTCCTATGACCCATTTAAACCCAAAGAGCGTGAGGTGACCATACACCGGCGGTTTGTCAAGCAAGGAACGTTCCTGTTTGTTCTCTACTTCTTCAACCTCTCTGTGCTGGCCACCTACCTGCCTCAGGACCACCTGAAGTTCATCCCGCTCCTCACCTGCCTCTTCACCCTCGCTCAGTAAGTTCTCTTTGTCTCACTGGGGTGATTCCATCCCATCATCCATCTTCCCGACATCTGTTTATGGAAATAGGATTCTATATCGGGACGCTCCAGCCAATCTCTTGCCACACCTATGCTCACCTAATGAGGTCATAACCACCAGCTCCATCCTGCTGAATCCAGAACATGATCTTAGAAGCTCAGATTGATGGGTCATTCTGCCCCGAGACTAAACCCCACCAAACCGTTTTATCATTCTTTGGTGGGACTTCGGTAGTGGGACCTGCTGTGGTCAATTTTTAAAGTGGACCTTTCACCGGATTTACGACTTCAGTTATTTTTTACTTTCCTTCCTCTTTTATAATTGCTTCCTATTTCCCCCTTTTTGTAAATACTTTTTTTTAAGATGCTTCACCATTTTTCTTACGTAGATGAGAGGGACAAAGTCCTTCTCTGCTCCCGACATGATAGAATACACGTCATGGATCCCAGAAGGCCGTAGGTGCCAAACTCCTGTGGAATTTCCTGACGCTATGCCAACACGCAATGTGAAAGACATGACCTCCACTGTCCATCTGCGCTTGTGCAAGATCTGGTGCCATGTCTTACACATCGCATGTTGCCATGGTGTAAGGGTTGGTATCTACAACCCTACAGCCTTCTAGTATGTGCGACATGTATCCAAAGGCTGGGGAGGGGGGGGGTCTCCTGACAGTATGGCAACATGTAATGCAAAAGACATGGTGCCAGATCTTGAACTGCACATACGCTAAATCTGGTGCCATGTCTTATGCATTACATGTTGCCACGATATCCTGAAGCGTTCACCACCTATGGCCCTTCAACCTTCTAGGAGGCATGAATTGAATCCCAGAAGGCGGAGTTGGTGTAAGAAGAAGGAAGTCTCCAAACACGATGGCAACATGTAATGTGAAAGACCTGGTGCCAGATCTTGAACTGCCCATACGCTCAATCTGGTGCCATGTCTTATGCATTACATGTTGCCATGGTATCCTGCAAGCATTCACCACCTATGGCCCTGCAACCTTCTAGGAGGCATGAATTGAATCCCAGAAGGCAGAGTGGGTGTAAGAAGAAGGAAGTCTCCAAACACAATGGCAACATGTTATGTGAAAGACCTGGTGCCAAATCTCACGCATGCGCGCATGTTGGAATGGTGTCAGGAGATTCAGTGAGAGGTTAGCACCTACAGCCTTCTGGGATCCATGACATGAATCCTTTGAAGTTGGTAGCAGAGATGGACTCTGTCCCCCTCGCCCCCTTGACACGTCAGTAGACAGACTTTAGGAACCAGGAAGAAACGGCCAGCTACCGATGGTGAAGACCACAAACATGGTGGCATGGGATATGCAGTAGAGCGGAGGGGGGATAAAAGAGCAAAGAACGGTTTGCTCGGCTTGAGCATCAAACCCAACTTGAATTTGGGGAATAGTTTTTCATGGGCATTGGGGGGAAGGTCCACTTGAATGTGTTTTTAGAAAGGATGGAACAGGGGCATTGGGAATGGCCAAAGGTGGGGTGGGAATAAGCAAACACCAGAGCGGGGAGACTTTTTGCTGTCTCCACCAAAGAAGTCATCTGTTGACTGCACCTATAACCAAATTATGAATTTGGGTGGACTGGCCCTTTTTTAAAGGGTACCTGCCATTCTTCGGGAGACTGTATCCTGAAAGCTTACACAAAGGTCAACTCCTACAAAAACATTCCTCTAGTTTTGGGTGCAGTGAGGAGGGCTTTGAAGCTCCGAAGGGTGCAGATTTTGTGTTTGTTTCAGGATAAGAGGGGGAAATCTATCTCCATGAGGACACAAACACCCTTCCCATTCCATCTGAAACTAGGCCAAAGAGAGTTTTTTGGATGGATCTCCACTTGAAGGCTTTAAAAAAAAAAAAGAAATGTGTATCGTGATCATACATTGGACTGATAAACCCTTTCCTCTTCTCCTTCCAGACTTATCTACTGGCTGTCCTTTGCCGTCAGTCGCTCGTTCCGTGGTTTCGGCTATGGCTTGACCTTCTTTCCTCTCATCGCCATGATGATCAGCAACTTTTACTTCATGTTCTTGGTGGAGCCGGAAAAGATGGTTTTCCTGGGAAGTAGAAATGTGCCCTAAAACTAGCAAATGGAATGGCTACACCTTGGACAAGCATTGAAGACACTCCCGGCGTTATAAAAAATGGCCGCCCATTGGCTCACCTTGGATCTTTATATCTTCCACCTCGTTCTTCTCACATGTTACATTAGAAAGACTAAAGGGGAGTATTTGAAAAAAATCACCCTGTGAAACTGCCATGTACATTTGTTCCCTGGGGCGGGGGGGGGGGGGGGGGGAATCGAATGCTGTTTGGATATTTTATCTCCAGCTTGAGTATTATTCATTCTTAATGAAAACAGGAAAATATGGCATTACGGCCACTAGATGGAGCTCATGAGCATAGGAAAAAAAATTGTATTTGCCATGACCGTCAGCTCCATCTAGTGGCCATGGTGTGGTATTTTCCAAACCCATCAACTACGACTGAATTTTGTTTTTAAGACTTTCTTTTAAAAATTATATTTTATATGAAGAAATCTGGACCTGAGGTTCTGTACTTGAAGTTCAACAATTGACTTTTAAAGCCCAATTGGACTATCAGTTTAAAGAAGAAGTCTCATCTGGACCAAAAGATTTCCTGCTGCGTCAGTAATTCACGTGTAACCCCTTTACGGCTGCCCAACACACATGTACGGTGACAAAGGGGTGGGATTAAACACTCGGCCGCTGCCCCTATGCGCTGCTGGGTGGCCGACGTTTATGCACGGGGAGAGCGCTCACTGCTTGCTTCCAGCACAAAGACTGAACTGTTGGAGACCGGTCTCAGTCCAGCTAAAGATCAGTAGCCGGGGAACTGACTCCTTATCATGTGACCACTGTGGTCACATGATCGCTTATCCTTCCCGCCCGCTCCAGGTGTTCAGACGTGTTTTAATGGGATGCCGGATCAGGCAGGAAGGAGTTCACCAATAATTTACTTGAGAAACGAAATTGGGAAAGATTGCAAAGAAAGGAACATTTTTATAATCTGAGATTATTGTCTGAGAGCTCCTCCCCTGTGTGAGGCCCGATTTGTGGTGTCCTATGCTCCAGCTCCAACAGTCACTACCATCTCCTTTACTATCTGTGCTTTTGAATGCATCTTCATAATTCATCTGATGATCTAGAGATGCTGCCCACAGAACGTTGCACTATGGATCTTTGTATGCTGACATGTCTCCTCCTCTTTGATGACATGCTCCTCCCCCTGCATCAGTAATGACAGCACTCACAGCCAGCTCCTTTTTGCTGAGGAAGACAAGCGCTGTCCATCACACCTAGTTATCTGTCTCCTACCTAGCAGCATGGTCGATGGGAGGGTGGGAAGGGGTTAAAGAACAATCTGAACTTGAGAAACGAAATTGTGAAAGATTGCAAAGAAAATAACATTTTTGTAATCTGAGATTATTGTCTGAGAGCTCCTCCCCTGTATGAAGCCCCATTTGTGGTGTCCACAGCCTTCTATGTGTGTGAGTTGAGTAGGTGTCGATCATACCTAATTATCTATTTGTCTCCTACTTAGCAGCATGGTCCAGGGGAGGGTAGGAAGGGGTTAAAGAATAATCTGAACTTCAGAAATGAAATCTTGAATGATTGCAAAGAAAAGACCACCACAATGGTCACATGATCACTGATCCCTCCCTCCCCCCTCCAGGTGTTCAGATGTGTTTAATAGGACAC